ATTCATGGCCAACGGCCCCAAGCACGGCCACGTCCCAGCAACTAGCTGCGGCATTTGCCATGGTTCCAAAACCTCTCTGGCACTTGGCACTTGCCGGGAAAATGCCCCAGACGCGCCTTCGAAGTTTGGCTGCCACGTAATGCTGTCCGAGCCAAGGCACTCTGGCCTCAAGGCAACGTGACACAAGTACCTTCTATGGGCACGGGTGGACATGGGTGGACATGGCTTTGTACCTTTTTTAGGGTCCCTTTTTGGGGTATGCTTTTTAAAGGGAAACCACACAAACACCATTTTTGGGGTCCCCCCAGGGTGCGGTGTTTTCTTTCATTTTTTGGATTTTTGTTTTGTTTTGTTTTTGTTTTTTGTCCGGGCCAGTAAAATGTCGTATTTTAAAGCATTTTCTCGCGAAATTGATGCATTTTACACTAGCCCGTCAACATCCCCAGCATCGTTTTCAATATCCCCCGCATGTCCGACCAACATCCCTAGCATCACCGACAAATCGTGGGTAACAAAATTTTAATCCCTGTAAACAAAAAAAACAGCGGGGGGGTTGGGGGGGGGCGGCAGCCCCCCCCCCATGATGTTCGCAGAAGTGATGATTCGAATAGCTCTGCAAAAAGTCTAAAAAGTAGCGGGGGGGTTGGGGGGGGGGCGGTAGCCCCCCCGTGATGTTCGAAGACGTGGTGATTCAAATAGGGGTGCAATTACATCTCTGTAGAAAATCGAAAACGTAGCGGGGGGTGGGGGGGGGGGGCGGCAGCCCCCCCCATGATGTTCGAAGAAGTGATGATTCAAGTAGGGGTGCAATGATTCAAGAACGGGTGCAATAGAATTTGAAAGGCAGCGTCAGGGTTGGCGGGGGTGGCTTCCCCTATGTTCGAAGAAGTGCATACATACAGACATGGATTACATAGATTACCTAAAATGTCGTATTTTACAGCATTTTCTCGCGAAATTGATGCATTTTACACTAGCCCGTCAACATCCCCAGCATCGTTTTCAATATCCCCCGCATGTCCGACCAACATCCCTAGCATCACCAACAAATCGTGGGTAACAAAATCAAAAAAGTAGCTGGAAGGTTGACGGGGTCAAAAAAATGATGATTCAAATAGGTGTCAATCCCTGTAAAAAAAAAAGCAGCGGGGGGGTTGGGGGGGGCGGCAACCCCCCCCCCATGATGTTCGCAGAAGTGATGATTCGAATAGCTCTGCAAAAAGTCTAAAAAGTAGCGGGGGGGTTGGGGGGGGGCGGTAGCCCCCCCGTGATGTTCGAAGACGTGATGATTCAAATAGGGGTGCAATTAAATCTCTGTAGAAAATCGAAAACGTAGCTGGGGGTTGGGGGGGGGGGCGGCAGCCCCCCCCATGATGTTCGAAGAAGTGATGATTCAAGTAGGGGTGCAATGATTCAAGAACGGGTGCAATAGAATTTGAAAGGCAGCGTCAGGGTTGGCGGGGGTGGCTTCCCCTATGTTCGAAGAAGTGCATACATACAGACATGGATTACATAGATTACCTAAACTGTCGTATTTTACAGCATTTTCTCGCGAAGTTGGACGCTCGAAAAAGTGATGATTCAAATAGGGGTGCAATTAAATCTCTGCAAGAAATCTAAAAAGTAGCGGGGGGGTTGGGGGAGGTGGCAGCCCCCACCATGATGTTTGAAGAAGTGATGATTCAATAGGGAGAACACTGGTGATGCTGATGCGGTAAGCCAAATCCAAAAACTAATGAAAGGGTGCAAAAGCCAAAACGCCCGGAGAGGAACTGGGAAAGCAGAGGATGCGAAAAGCCAAAGCCGCCAAAAGCCCCATAAACCAGCGAAAGGCTGCAAAAGCCAAAACGCCACCTGCCGAAGAGGAACTGGGAATGCAGAGGATGCGAAAAGCCAAAGCCAAAAGGCCACCAAAAGCCGCATAATCCAACAAGAAGCAGAAAAGCCAAGAAGCCGAGAAGCCAAAAAGCCAAGAAGCCAAGAAGCCAAGAAGCCAAGAAGCCAAGAAGCCAAAAAGCCAAGAAGCCAAGAAGCCAAAAAGCCAAAAGCGAAAGAAAAATCCCAAAAAACGAAAACCATTCCTAAAATAAATACCCCTCCCCCAAGAAAATACAGACCCACAAGGGTGAATTAGTGAATCACAGAGTCCATGTTTGCTTTGGTGAGAAGATTTCAATAGTCCCCCCTTGCCTCCCAAATGGATCATAGACGTCTCTGATTTTTGAACGAACCTCACATGGCACGCCCAACGCTCACCCCAAAGACGCCACCTGCAGAAGTCACTCAAAATGCCACCGTCTGCAGCAACCTTTTTTCGCGAATGGAGTTCGCCTTCTGACGCAAAACGGGCACTCTGGGGAACAGGCTCTTCCGTAGGGAAGACGTCGATGCTATGGGTGTGATTCCAGTGCTTGATCACCTGGTCAGAAAGGACCAGGTAAACTTCCAACCTGCCAAAAGGGAGCCCTCCAAATGTGGTCCGGAGTCCTTCTGATCCCGTAAAAGTTCCCCCGGTTTCACAAAGAGCTTCCACCACAAACATGCCATCACCGCCTTCCGCTCATCGCAGGACATGTTTTGGAGGTTGATTCCCCAGCCGGTCATGTTCATAAACCTGGCGCGCTCGAGCGCGCTATCGGAGACCTGCCAACCTGTGACCGTTCTTCCTTCTTGTTCAAGGCTGCAATGTGTCAAAGCTTTTGCTGGGGCACGGTATTCCAAAAAAAATAAGATTGCTTCTGCCAAAGACCAAAGATAAACCAAACTTGGTTCTTGCACCTACCAATGCTCTGAGTTTGAAAGCCCGCATGGAGGCGTCCCTTTGTGTTGGGCTGCGCATGTGACGCGGCCAAGCTGGAAGAACCGATTTAGTAGCCTTCAGTCCATCTTCACCTTTCTTCTTTGTTTTGGTATGCTGATGCGCCATGCGAGGCTTCACTGGCTTCACAGCGTCCGTCGCTTGAGCCACATGCACAATCACTTGCTTGACGAAATGCGGGAAAGTTGTCTCGTGGCCCACATCTGAACCACCAGTGACCTCAATCACGCAGCAGATCCGAGGTCTAAAGGCTCACTCGATCGCCCCTCAAGTCACTCGAGCTGCAAGGAGGGTCGATTTGCCGTGTGGCGAAAAACGCCTCTCACGCCGTTTGCCGGCGTTCCCCTTGGTTTTTTTTCTTGGTTTTCCCTTCAGCCGCACATGGTTGATTGACCACTGCTTCTCAAGACCCATATCAGCAGCCTTGGCATGTTGAACCTTTGGGACCTTGGTTCCCGTTTTGCAGCCATGATAAATTCCATCAATCTGATTCGGGTTCCACACAAGGACTTTACGGTTGAAGGCCTGAATGCAAATCCTTGAGTTTGCTGAAGCTAACCCCATTCATTTTCTGACCGGCTTGGCTTCCGGAGACCGGGCCCCTGGCTTGGTGGGTGGATGAAGTCGCAGCTCGTTCTCAAAGAGCTGCCTGAGCAGCTGTAGAGCGTCCTCTTCACAGCGGTCTTCCACAGACAGAAGCCAAGTGTCAACATCAGGCGATGTCGGACATATATGGCCATGGGTCAAAATCCAAATCGTACCCCCAGTGAACATCCCAATCCAACCACTGAAATAGGTCCTAAAATGGGTGGTGAATTTCACCTACGATCAACCACAACGGTTTTGACAACCACAGCCATTTCTCGGGTTGGCTGAATGCCAATGTGGCTAATGCGAGTGACACAAGCGCAAACGAATCGTTCGCGGAGGTACCTCAGACCGATGGTCACCGAATACTAAACTCGAAACAAACATCAAGCTTTTTGTTGGCCTCCTTGTGCAACAAGGAGCAGGAGCTTACGCTATGCAACAGCTTTGGAACGGCTGTGAAAAGGGCAATGACTTGAAGGCTTCCACTTGCAAGAGTCGCCACCCTCCAAGGCAATTTTGCCCTGAGTTGGCAAACATTTGGGTGAGGCTCAACAAATTGAGAGCCAGGGGACAGCGGGTTTTAGCGGTTCCATCTTGGGCCCCTATCTTTTGAGCCACTTTGCATCCCCACTTTGTTCTACGCTTCCCGCGAACGCCGGGTACCCCGGCCGTATGGGTGGCGCTGGGTATTTGTCAAAGGGCGGTGTGGAAGGGCCAAAGCCCACCTGCAAGAGGTGACAACACCCAAGCCAGGGATCTCCAAGCAGTGAGCTCACCTTACCCCAGTCTGTTCCTACTCGGCAGCTTCACCTATCCATGGATTCCGGAACATTCCGGAACCAACGACCCACCTGAGATGCCCTTCCACGCTGGTCAGGACTAGTGACTGGGGGCAAAGTGTCCACTCCCCTTCGAACAGTCCCCACTCATTCTGAACCCATGAGCGTGTGCTACGGCACTTGGAGCCTTTTGCCAAACTGTGCAGAGAGTTCCAAGCCCTGCGCCATGGCCAATCTGTTGATGCCTCAGATGCAACGTTGAAGCCCAAACTTCACCCAGCTTCACGGGCAAGTGAACACCGAGAAGGGTCTTCCTTCATGGCCATGAAGACCTCTCCAGCTTTTCCTACTCATAGATTGTGGGCCACAGATTGAAGTTCCGGACTATGGCGCAGGATCCGCGTGCGGCCGGGCTGCAATCATTGCCCGCCTCAGAGCAACGACGGCCAATCACTGATGGACCGCCAAAACCCCAAAATCTGAAAAGCGGCAAGGTTTTGCACAGAGCGTGTCACACAAAGGCAGGCCAAAACACCGACAAGCCTTCCGAGGGCTAAGTGTGATACCTGCATCGGTGGAAGCATCTGCCATGTGTAGTTCATGCCTGCCACTTGACAGAAGCAAGCCAGTGGCTGCAACTTCGCATGGATGCTTCTGATGGTTTGGGCGTAGGATTGAAACCAAAGCCAAAGAATATGCCCACATTTAGATTTGGGTCGCACTGTTGGCCCAGGACTCATTCAGGTCACCGCTGTCTGCATTGGCCATAGGGCCATGGGGTTAAGGACCAGTGAAGTGTGGTCAGGCTGTGGTCAGCCCGCAAGAAGCCGGCCTAATCGGCGCTGCCCCACAGTGCGCACATCCTGGGACTTGGCATACTTTGTCCCAGTGGAGTGAAGGGCTCGGGCATGGCGCGGTCAACATTGTAGGGTACTCGTTTCTTCTTGCTTTCTTTGTTGCCCTTTTGGGGGGATCCCCTAAAAAAGGACGCACCCACATGCTCTGATCAGTGGGAATGCCCTGCTTCGCAAAGGCTGAGGCAAGCTGAGGCAAGCTGAGGCAAGCTGAGGCAAGCACCACGAACATCTTGGTGAGCGTCGGAGCCCCGGTGACACGCTCAAAGTTCTTGCAGACCTTGCCTGGGTCCGGGCATGCATAAGAGCTATGCCGCCAAAACACAAGGGGGTTGATCAATCTTCCTGCCCCCAAATGACCATGGCTCACTTTTCCCCCATATAGTGGGAAACATCATCTTTGTAGTGGGTTTCCAACCAACAATGGTCATCCCATGTACCACGGACCTTTTGATCAACCCCCAAGTATGATATGCTCTTTGTGGCTTTGCAGGCGATGGCCACGGTGGCCCCCCCCGCACCTCCGCTGGCCTGAGGCCTCCGTGAAACCCAAAGGCGGGAGCTGGGCAACGGGCCCAGAGTCTCTTTGACCACGATGTCCATATCACCTGCGCAAGGTCTGCGCTCCAAAATATGCAAGGCATGTGCTGCAAATGAGATGTGGGTGGACAAAACTTGGGTCTGGACTTGGTCCAAGAGAACATGGAGCAATGTGTGGCTGCAAACATAGCGGATTTGTGACTGCCAGAAACAAACAAACGGAGGCACCAGTCGTCAGCATCTCGGTGTCCATCTCTCCGTAGATGAGGAGCACCCCACTGACCACCTACGGAAAACAGCTCCCCAGTTGCGAGGCAATCCGAGCGCCTGAAACACCGCCTGAAGCCGAACCTGACTTTCTGCCTAGATCTGCGTGCGGGGGGGGAAGGGGGGAGGGGGGGCTGACAAAACGCTCACCCTTTCGAGGCAAACCCGCGGCCCAACGGCCACTCCCCTTCCGGCCTCTTCGGTGCTGGTGACAGTGCCCTCCCCCGCGATGCTGAAGTCCAAGCTATCCTCCTCGTTCTCGGCATCCGGGTCCTGAAAATGAGTGCGACTGGAGACGGGCACCCATAGAAACGCAAAACGCTTGGGAAGCCCTGGCGCTTGCTTGACACGTCCTCCCACAATTTCGTGTATTATCCGTAGGGGATACCCAAACAGACCTTCCTCCGTGCCTGCTTTCAGTTGCGTCCTTTTCGTGTTTGCGTGTCGCGGATTTGCCTAGTGACCAGTAACAAGAAAGGATGCCAATCAAAGGAATTACCTCTTTCATTGCACCCCTCCATTGCTGAAAGGGGGGCGGTTAGAAAGCTGTCCCAAGATCCAGCGCCTCCGGCGATCTGGAGCTACCAATTTCAAGACACGTGCAAAGACAAGAAGCGTTGAAGCTCATGTTGGGCCAAGCGCTTTCCAAGGCTCGAAAATATGCCTTTCGCTCACGAGATGTCTTCTCGCGAATTCCTAAACTCTCCCGCCCCCTTTCCAGGGATGTTTCCTGGGCCTGCTTTCGAGTTTTTTCCCCCGCTTCCCGGGCCTTTCTCGACCCTTTCTCGAGACTTTCCAGGGGTTTCCGAAAAAATAGTGCGGGTGTTCCCCGGCTCTTTCCCAGCCCCGGCCTATTCCAAGCACCTTTCCGCGCTTTGCCTAGCCTTTGCGGTTCCTATGAAGGTCCACCAAGAAAGGGGGCTGGGGGGGGTGACGCTTGATCTTGATTCGAGGTGCTTTGTGGCCGCCAGTGGGGTAGGGGCGCAAGGCTGAAGACATGACACCAACGCGGCTGGTGGAGAAACCGATGAGAAGCAAAGAACAACAATCAGCTAGGATGGCCATTATCTCAAATGCCCACAAGAGGAAACACCTATCACACACTAGCTTCACGCCAAATCCTTCCCAGGACTTAGGCCCAAGGCGAATATACTCAATCCAGGAGAAGCGATGCGAGGACCGACTGCCTGCAGTAACCCTGGCGAGCGAACTGTGAACCCGTCCTGCGCCACGCAGGCACAGATCGTCCAGGCTAGGAGCCTTAGGGATTGGGGCCTTCTCCGGGGTTGGTAACTCAAAAGCGAAAGACCTGCGAAACTCAATGCATTCCCTGAGTTCTTTTGCTTCCCAAGTCTTTTGCGTGATTCCGGAAACAGCGCTTGGCCTCTTCATTTCCAACACTTGACTGTTATAGACATCCAGATTTGGTGGATGTCTGGAAATTGCTGCTGCCATCCAAACTGAGGCACGAGCGCGCATACAAGCGGCCTTCGAACCTTCAATTCGTTTGCAAGGGTGTGAGCAAATTGTCTTCTTGGCATACAAATCTGTGGGGTTTTGAGCAACTGTCCTTCAACTCGGCTTCCTTAATGCACTCCCCACCACCTTCGGCAGAAATCACCGTCCTGTTGGGGTTGACTAACTGGCCTCGACCCTTTCTAGGTTCCCCCCCAACCCCCGGCCCGCACCAGATGCCACTGAAAAAAGTCCCACCAATGGGCGAGAAATCTCATCTTGCGCCCACCCGGCGTATGCACATCCCATCCGCCTGGATCGCACCTGTACGCCTGGCAGAAGGAAAGGGTCCATGCTCTATTGAATCGAAGTGACTGCAGGATCCCTGGTTTTATGTGGGAATTGTTGGGATGTGCATGTTGCCAAAGGAACGAGACACGCTGAGCCTGCTGTGGCGGGCTGGCTTTATGGAAGAAGATTCGACAGGAATGCTGTCCGTACCTTGGGCTAGCTGCCAAAAGCTGTCTATGCAGGTTGGATTTGTGGGCCAAGGCGTGTTAATGGAGCTATGGGTCATGCTCCGCAGTCATGTGGAGCATTGCCCGCTTCTTCTGACACCAAACTAAGTATTGACAATGCAAGGAAGCACCGTACAAACTTTTGGAAGGCGTGCAAAACGACCTGGTCTGCTAGGAAAATTGGAACAAAACGGCGGGCAAGTTTCATTGACTGTTGAGGGAAAATGGCATGCTGAGCCTTCTGACCAGTCCCACGAACCCTATGACAAGACTGGTGACTCCATTTGAGGGCCCTAGGCACGACTCTCAAACCAGTCCCAAGCAGCCCGAAGCTCACTTTGCCAGCTCGGGTGACCCTCCCAACCTTTGGGGCTTGGCTGTGGTCAAAAACCGTTGTGGTTGGTCCCATTTTGGTGGGTGGGTGAATTCACCCATTTTAGCCCATAGTGGTTGGATTGGTTGATGTTCACTGGCTGTACGATTTGGATTTTGACCCATGGCCACCTGTCAACCCGACTTTTACAAGGGCCCCTTTGGTCGGCGAACCCCCGCGCCTCGCATCTCGCCTTCCACGCGCCTCAGGGGAGAAATCGGCTGATCCACTGAAATCCGAAATCTGCCAAGCGCGCATTGAGGCTTCAGCCTCAGAAGGAATTTCAGCCATGCTCTGGTCCACAGAAAACTCTCAGATTCTGCCCCTCGAAGGCAGAATATGATGCGGTCAGTATGTTAGAACATCATCCTGCCAAGCAGGCAATGATGCAGTTGAAACGTTGCCCAAACTTAAATGCCGTCAACAGGCAAGGGAAGCTTGTCTCAAATCCAGCCCCTAGTTTCGCACATCAAACACATTGACCTCGTCCCATTCTTGATGTTGCCTCAGCGCATCTGCACCACTTCCAACCCAAGTTCTTTGCACCGTCAGCTGCTGTCCCCGCTGCTCATTCTCAACGCGAGCCCTCCAATGTCGGGAGGTTCGGTCACTTGAAACCTCACAACTTAAGCCTCCAGACCTGTTCTCTTTGGTCCAAAAAGGCAAGTAACCCCCGGTCCCGATAGGGACTAGGGAAGGTCGGGATGGGCTTCCATGCCAAGCTATATTCCCCCAATTCCTCCCCAGTTCCTGGCTGTTTGCCACTCAAAAATACGCGTGCCCGTGCCTGGCGCTTGCCGTCATGCACTGGATAGTGCCTGATCCGGTGGAGCGCTTTTTTGTGCAAAAACGGGTGCTGAAATGGGGTCAGCAGGCAGGTGCACGTTGGTGCAGAAACTTCCTCCAGCGACTAACATGGAACCTGACGGGGGGGGAGGTCCGGCAAAACCGTTTTCCTTTAAAACTGTTCAAGTCATTCAACTGAGAAGGAACCTCTGATTCCCCGATGGGTTCCACGTTTACGGGACGGAGTAACAAACCAGGTTGCTCCTCGGAGAACTTACGCCCTGAACATCCGGAAGTGAAGAAACAGCAATGTGTTGAAGCCAAACTACATTATGTTTTAGAAGAAGCGAAAACACCCATGCTCGCCCATGCTCACCGAGCCGTGCCGAATACTCTTGTGTGAAACGCGGTACTATGAACTTGCTTTCGCGAACCCTTTCGCGATGCTTTCGCGACCCCATGTTTTGCTTTCGCGGGCTTCGTTTTCTTTAGCAATGCTTTCGCGCCGCTTTCGCCGCGGACTTTTTGAAACACACGCAGGTTCCTTTTGACGATGGCCATTGGCCTTCTGCAAAGTGAATTCCACAAACGGCTGTGCACCCCAAATGCAAGGCTATGTAAAACAACTGCCGCTCATCATGAACATGCAGGCTTTCGCGGGGCTTTCGCGGCGGGACCTTCTAAAGGCACTTTCGCGAAATGCTTTCGCAGGCTTTCGCGGCCTGCGCTTTGGCTTTCGCGGCGGGTCTATAGGACACCCCCCTTTACTACTTTGTATTGCCAGGGTTTACGGCGCTTGACCCGTTACATCCGGAAACTCATAAGCCTTATCTCGAAACCAGGCAACATGATGCGTACCAGAAGCAAGGGAACCAAGACGTACCGTGTGTGGTACCTCTAAAATCTACATCACAGCCTGCAATCCAGGATCGCACGTGTCTTGAGCCCAAATAGCGCGACTTATGGCCAAGCCGGCCGACAACAAAGGACCAAACAAGCAGGCTGCCAGATTGGGCAAAGCAAGCAAGCAGGCAAGCAGGCAAGCAATCAAAGCAAAGCAAAGCAAAGCAAAGCAAAGCAAAGCAAAGCAAAGCAAGCAAGGAAAAAAGCGCAGCAGGCAAGGAAAAAAAGCGAAGCAGGCAAGAAAAAAAGCGAAGCAGGCAAGGAAAAAAGCGAAGCAGGCAAGGAACAAAAGAGGCAAGCAACTAAGAAGGCAAGCCAGCCAGGGAGCCAGCAAGCAACAAGACATACTGGCTGCATCACTGTTCTCCTAACTCTACTCTAGATGTGTCCACATGCCACAAATCAGCGACGCCAAACGAGAGCATCACAAGTGATACTGGATGGTAGAAACGGTCTATCTACTGGACTTGCTGGTTGCAGCGCAAGGCCTTCAGATTCAGTGCTGCCGCTAGTTTAGGCCAGGGCAAATGTAGCTGGTGCGGCATCAGTATACAAGAGTGGTTCCCATTTACCCTCTACAAGAACCAGGGGTCCGGATCCCCAAAGCACCAATCCAAAGCAGCCAATACGGGGTAGCTGAACATTTGGTGCAAATAAAACAACAGGGACAGGCTGCCAGCGACATCTTCGAATGTCATTCGGTTGCATGGCATTGCAAAGCACATCTGGTGTCTCCCAACGTCAAGGATGCAGTCCTTCAAAGCCAACTCGTTCTGAGAGGGCGCATCGTCTTCCACAACTTCTTCCTTGCTGAGCTTCTGGCAACATGGCAAGCGGCCATTGCATGCAAAAGCCGGGAGACGTCTTCTGACCCGACCTGTGTCGTGAATCATTCCGAAGGCTCTGCTCAAATGGGGGGGTGGCTGTCTTGTGTCCAGTCGTAGCCTGAGCTCCAGGTTGGGCTATGGGCGGGGCTTTGATGCTGCGTTTACTGCGGCTTTGCCGCTGCTTTGGTAGCTGTAAGCCACGAGGCGCAACTTGTCATGAACTCCTGGCGAATGCTTGGCAAATCCACCCTCACGCACTCGCCATGACTCCCAAAGTATTGAGCTTGACGCGTTCCCCTAGTTGATCCGTCACACATGTTGAAACCAAAGGCGCATTGAGCTAGCCATCCAGCTGGCCTCACCAATGGAGCGTGCTGCCTTGATCTTCTTTGTCGTCTAGCTAGCGCTTGTCCGAAGCAACAGCCATCCACGCGGACACGTTTCCCACCCGTGTCCACGGTCGAGAGGTGCATCCGGCACGATTTTCCGATGCCAAGGAAACGCTGTGCAAGGCGGGCACGCGAGAACCGCTCTCTATTTACACAGGATCTGCGATTTCCTCTGCTCATACACATCCTGAAGCAAAAAATAATTATCCTAAAGAGTCGCACAGCCAGTTGCCTGTCGCCCAATTGCGCTGTGCAACTCACTTCCCCTTCTTCTCTGTGGGGCTCGGATCATCGCTGCTCTCGGCCTGGTTGCAAGTGCAGCGACTCTTCCCGCGATATTCAAAAACGCCATGATAAGCACACAAATCATACTTAAACTGGAAGTGGACAAACCACACAACAAATAGCAAGGACATCACAACACGCTTCAATGTTTGCCTTTTGTCGCGAGTTCGCATAAATGCGGTGGATTGGCCGAGCTAATCCAACATGGCTCTTGCCGGGAAAACAACAATTCAGGCTGGTTTAGCGAGACACGAGGCTTGGCAGGCCACCGGCCAAGAATGCAGGAATGGCATGCTCTTTCAAAGGCGCGCGTGAGCATGCCGAAGCCAAGCACAAGCCAAAGCAGGCAACTAGCCGCTGTTCAAGCATCAAGTCGGCTTCGCTTTCAAAGGATCAAACAGGGCTTGATTAGCCCCGGCTCAGCACAAGGCCAACCAACCAACCAACCAACCAGCCAGCCAACCAACCAGCAACCAGCCACCCGGTTCCGTTGATTTCATCAAACAACAAAAGATGCAACAGGGCTCCAAACAAAAAGGGTCCTAGTTTCATCAATCTGAACTTCTGACCCATGGACATCTTGGGCCCATGGGAGGTGTTCTGTGAACTATCCATTTTCTGCTCCCAAAAAAACCGGGCTGTGGGTCAAACATAGGGCAACCCCAACATGAAACCCTGGCAAACGGAAACACACACTAACCTGGTGGTCTGGTGGTTTCATCTTGACCCAGACCCCAATGCGCAGCTTTTGGGCCTCTCTTTGCATCTCTTTGGCTTGGCAACGGACCCACATCTCTTGACCCATGGAGCGACACGAAATGGAAACGGACCCAGCCCCCAGATGCCGACAGCGGCCTCCGCGAAGCTGCGAGGCCAGGGCTCCATGGAGCCCCCGAGCGCGTAGAAGGCCTGAGGCGCGAGGCGCGAGGCGCGAGGCGCGAGGCACGCGGCGCGGCGAGGCGGTTTTGACGCGGCTGAGCTCGGAACAGCGCCCACCAAGATGAAAATCACCTGGCGGGTCGACCTTCTGGTTTAAAGTAGAGACTGCACCATGCTTTCACATAAGGAACGCAGATCTTGCCAATGGAACACTCACAAATGGCTACACCATTGGGCAACATTCTGAATCCTGTAAGCTTGACTAACCCGCCATGCGCGCCAAGCCTCTTGCTTCAAAACTGGCCACCTTTCGAAATGCTTGCTTTCCTCTTGAACAAACAATAAACACGACATGCGCAGATTGGTTTTCCAGGATTTTTGCAGGGTTTCAGGGTTGGTCCTTCGGCAAGCACGCCAAGGCGCCGCTAAGAATTGATACTCTGTCAGCCCGAGCAGGTACTCGCTGGGAGGATGCCTGCCACACTCCAAATGCTTCCGGGATCTGAGAGCTAACAAAAAGTCTTCAGTGTGCCAACAAACTCATCACACATTGTGCTTAGCTTACGTGTGTCAACCACAGCCAACAAACTAATCACACAGTGTGAACAGCGAACAACCAATCACACATGGCATCATCTGGTCGAAACTCGAGTCGCCTGTGAAACTCGAGTCGCCTGTGAAACTCGAGTCGCCTGTGACACAGGCCGACGGCGACATCGGCCATTGTTGTTCTAAACCGTCATCCCTCATCCCTCGGCTTAGGCCAACACTGCATCGCATTTTCAGACAAAGAGTACCGTCCCATGCACCGTCCCAGCTCTCGCCTCCGGAACGGCTCAACGATCATCCGCTCGATGCCGTACAAGGACAGCGTGAGCGCGCTGCGGAGACCTTGGCACCGAGCTCTGACAGCCAAAGAGCCAACAGCTACAAAATGACGACCTCCTCCTAAACATCTTTCCGCCAGGTGGCTGCGGGTCAAAAATAGGTACCCAACATGCAAACATGGCCGTTCTTAAAACCTGCGGTCCCCCTGATGGTTTCATTTTGACCCATACCCAGGTGTTCTAGACGACCCCTGCGCAAATTGTTGGCATCAACAAAGCCTGCGCGTTGTATGTGGGGGGAGGGATGTTGCACTCTTGAGAGATCACCCCCTCCATGTTCCCTGTAAACACGTACTAGTTCACTTCATCCTCACCGCACACATTCTGATTGAGGACACCGTCTAGATACAAGATTCTTGTTTGTCCACATCAACACAGCCCCTGCTTTGGGGGGTTGCGGGGCTTGTTGTACTGTTGCCTGATGGATAGATCACTTGCCCCCCCATCTGTGCATCTAGCTCAGCTCTATGTGGGGGGGGGGTTACAAATTCTGTCGCCAATCGGTACATCTGTTGCGCTGGTATGCACCATGACAGCCAGCCTCAGACTTGGGAAAGTCGCCTGCTACGAAAAGCAAACACAGCACAAGTTGATTTGGGGCGTTGATGGGGTAGCTATGGCTCAAGATGCACCCATCCTGAAAAGCCGGAAAGCAGCACTTGACTTCGAGCATCGGATCAGTCCATGACCCCAGCAGAAGAACATATTCTGCATAGCCATATATGCTTTCCTATATATACAGAAGCTAGATGGAGCTCTCAACACGACTGGGTACACGCAAGACGCGGCTGCTCTGTGCGACCGCGCGACCCTGTGTCCGCAAACGCGCCTTTGATTGCTAGTACACCAATAGCTCATGCAAGGTTACGCGCCGCCTTCACGGATGTTCAGAGGCATTGGATCTCAGGGATAGTTCAAAGTGCGACTGGATCACTCACCATAACTACCCGGATCATTTACACCCTGCCACTGACAGGGTCCTAGCCGGCCCCAGCACCCGAACCAACCTCCGGCTCACTTGCGCCCCTGGAATGGCCCCACTATGACAACTTAAGACTTCAATGGGGGATGCAAGGGATCTAAAAGTGGGGGGGGCTAAGCCCCGTGCTCAACAAACCTTCTCTGGGAAGAATCTTTAACAGGATCTTTGCTTGCCTTGGTCGGGTGTTTTTTTTTTTTTTGTGTGTGTGTCTTGCATCCTCCAGGGATATTTGATTCATCAGGCCTCTTTTTGCCCCAATGGACCTGCGTGGTGCTGGTCCCTGGGAGCTTGCTTCATCTTTGCTTGCCTCTGTGATCATGTTCTCCTCTAAGCCATTCATCTAGTCATTTCTGTACCTATGTTGGGTTGAAGTGTTGGTTCTGTTTTCGCGGGAGACATGCCTGTCTGCTAGATCCAGATATCCACCTGATTTCCTCTGAAGGCACCTGATCAAACCCTCGATCCTCAATGGCCGATCTGGGGCAAACCAAGTCTGCATCTGAGACCCCCAATCACATTCATCTCTACCCAAATGGCCTGCAGTGACAGCAACATGTCCGGACTCTCTCTTTCGGCGCCTGGAGCTTAGGGCCCTGGCCAACCCTCCGTTGCTTTCCTGCAGTAGGAAGCACCACCATGAAGTGCAGCAGCAAGAACAATGCCTTAGCTCTCGGTGCCCTGGCTCAACTCGCCAAACACAGCTCAAGTCTCTCCCCCCTGCCGCATACGTTTTGCACCCCCCCATAGACCCATAGGCCCACTTCAGGGCCTCCCGGCAATGGAGAGTGTGCTCTCATAGAGCGGTGTCGGATGCACGGCTTCTCTCCTCGGCCATGATTGGATTTTGGTATGCAACATGTTTTGTCATGTGCGCTTGACCATGAGTTGTCACTTGGGCTACAACATGAAATCAATCCCACCGCATCTCTTGATGCATGTTCACTTGCAACACCGCACTATGATCTTCCAGCCGTAACATGGTTGCACACGTGTAAAATAATGGCAGTTTGGTGCGATCAGCGCCTCGCCCGCGCGCGCACGGAGTGCGATGCGATGTGTCACTTTGTCTTGATAGAATTACAAAGGCAAAGCGAAAAAGATAGAACGTGCTAAAAGCAGGACAGATAGGCCGCCAAAGAAGAAGGAGCAGCAAGTTGGTTCTTCGCATCTTTCTTAAGCCGGCAACCCTAGCTCACATTTGAGAAGCAAGCTAGTTCTAGGCAGCCACGTTTTCGGTACCTTTGGTTTGCGCCGCTCTTGCGGGACTCCTGCGCCGTTTGCCCTAGAAAAACTGGCCAAATCCTGCAAAGCTCATGGTAGATTCTGCGTGACGCGAGCCGCTAGCCGCTGCGCCGTCTTGCGCGGTGGTGCGCGTTTTACACGCTTTCGTAACAATAAGCCCGCTGCCACCACCAGACTACTCGGACATGCCGGCCGTTTCGAACAACTTCCAGGCGCATATTCGGGATTTGTTGCAGCGGCATACTTGTTGCCGCCCTCTGCAAACTGCTGTCCGACCTACAAACATGGCGAATGCCATCCACGTTCAACGCCCAATAGCTCATATCCTACAATGCTGTGCCACCATCGTCGAACTGTCCAATGACCAAATGCAAACGGCAAAGATGCGATTCGCAACGTTAATGTTGCAATGTTGTAAACTGGATCCCAGCCAAATACTAAGTTGAACAACTAGACTGTTTTAGAAATAGCCGGTCAATCACTACGACTTCAGACAAGGTGCGTCGGGCTGAGGCCGTAGGGAAAGGACATGGCCTCGGCGAACGGAAAAACACCATGAGCAGTGGGTGATTGGATTACTAAAAAGACCAAATGGTGGAAAACTACCTCCAGAGCGTCCCTCGACTCAAAATCAACAATTTCAGGGATTGCAACTAGGCAGCTCAGTAGCTCGGATGCATCAGCACTGAAAGATTTTGCCCTATGCCTTTTCGGCCAGGCGCAACAGCCACAACAACATCACGTGACAGCACAAGAACAATTGGGCCCTGCGAACTTGGTAGTTCTTGACCCAAAGAGGAGAACACGGCGAAAGCAGCAGGGAGCAGCGAGCAGCAGGAGACAGAAGGGAGCAACGGCACGCCTGTCATCAACGGAAAAGCAATGGCACATCAAACCAACATTTTCGAGCAACTCAACTGGAGCACATGCAGTGCTCAAAATGCGGAAGTAATACGCTGAGGTCCAGTCTTGTGGGAACAAACAACCGCATCACAAACAAGGATTAAACTTAGCAAAAGGGCGCCCTGCATGACCCCCTGCCCCTTTCTCACCTAGGGCACGCAAGCACATGCTGTCCCTCAAGTCTCAACAGTACTGGTTCGCGACAATTCACAGCGGCAGGCCGAGTCAGTTAAGTGATGCCACCGCAAGGAACATGCGACGACTTCGAAGCTTGCACGCCCCTTGCATGTCCTATTAATCTAGCTACAAGTAAGGAGGCTCAAGGTTTCCCCCAGTCACAACAAAGACCCGAGATTGTACTGGAACTCAGGTTGCTTGATCTCCAAGCCCATCCCATGAGAACAGAAAACACACCCAACAGGCTGCATCCTAAAATTGGGGAGCCCAAATTGATAAACTTACATACCGATTGGGTCCAAAAAGCCCTCCCATGTTTCCCCATCTTCATAAACCTATCTGAGAATCTGGCCCAGGCGACATCGCTGGGTGGGCCATAGCAGCCATCCCCAGACCTTGGATGTCCCCCCGTGCATAAACGGAAAATTATTGGCAAACCCCGTCCCCAGTTTCCGGAACTTTCTTTGCGCTTTCGCATACATTCCGACCACCTTGGCATTCATGAAGCATGGACCCGCATCCAACACATCTAGATCAATTCTGATCCTGGGTCATGCCTCCACGAATCCAAGTCACAAACACACCTGCATCTTCCTCAAACCTCACAACGAACTTAAAACATGCGTGAATCCACGCCCAATACGCCCTACTGGTCCCACCTAGGCATGCAAAGAAAAGCTTCCCCAACTCTTAATCTCACCCACGGCAAACATGCATCAACTCCAAACGTCAATCAACCTTAACCAGCTAAACCAGAGCCTGCTCACATGGCTTGCACCTGCAAGGCAGGCTCGGCTCCCAGCAGAAAGCAGCCGATCTTGCCCACAGCATGTCCTCGACAATAAGCTTACGCGTTCTTTGACTCCTTTGGACTTGGAATCTTGATGAATGCACGTGTTGGACATCTGACTGTCAGAACACGTCAGTTCGGCCAAGCATGTACTTTCTGTTCTCGTGGAGTGTCTGATTCTTTGGACTTGCCGGGAGTGGGTGCAAGTGACTCTTTGGACTTGGAATCTTGAGCATGTCTTACAACTTGTATTGCAACTATGAGAGATGCACTGGTGAAACACTGTCAAGTAACGGCTCAATCATGCCACACTCCCAAGCATGCCTCGCGCATTCAACAAGCTGGCTCAGCTCATGGGCAAAGCTCATGTCCGATTCACGCTGAGCGGTGCACCCAGGGGCACCAATGGGGCGATGATGTCCAGGAGCGGCAGGGGTCTGGCGCTTTTCGGATGGCACTGATGGGCAATTTCCCTTTGCATGGCAGTTTGCCTATGAGCAGATCGGGCAAGTAAGTCACATGAGCTGCTTCCACTGACAGCCACGAACTGATTCTGAGTGTCTGAGGGAGGCCTGACGCCACACCAGAATCCATATGCGGACGCCGTCAGTAGCCCGCCCACCGCAGAGCCCATGAAGGAATGACCTGCACGGCAAAGCGGCTGGAGGGATCTTTTGTGCAGAAAAGCTGTTGACTAGATGTCCGTCAGACTCAACCACACAGCTCAGGATTCCCTTGCCAGATGGCCTCCAGAAAGGCATTTCACTTCCGTTTGTTTGGCCCCGTGCATCACCAAAGTGATCCCTCCCTATGCTCCCCGTGGTCACCGATGGGACTCATTGGGAGCTCTCATGAGCTTTCCTCACCTTGCCGGTGTGGCATCAACTCCCTAAAGAACTCTGACCATGGGTCAAATCCAAATCGTACCCCCAGTGAACATCCCAATCCCCACTAAAATAGGTTCTGCAATGGGTGGTGCACCTACCCCAGAATTGGATCCCATTGGGTTTGACAACCACAGCCAGCTCTGGCCAGCCTTGCAACCCCCCAGCGCCTGTTTCCAGCGAGAGGTTGGGCATCTCACCGCCAGCGGCTAAGGCAGACACCAGCAGGTGCACCTGGACGAAGACAGGTTGGAGATCATGCTGCAAAGCAGGAGACAAAAATTGTCTTCTTGTGCCAAGAGGAGCATAGGTGATATCAGAAGGTTCATCATGGTTGTTTGGTAGCACAGAGCAATCCCGGCAATCTCTCAATATCCAAGCCGCATTTGCCAGCGCGGTTCATGTGTCATCTCATATACAACCTTAACAGTACCTCTCTTTGTTGCCGCCATGATGCCTCCCGCTAAGAAAAACCCATGAAACCTCGGTCCGTGTTGGAAAATCCCGAGGGTTTCGACCCCCTGTGATCCTGTTCCCGAGGGGCGTTGGCAAGACCCTTCCCGCCTTGGAGCCGATGCCGAAGCCGGGGATGAAGGCGAGCATCAGCATCGCCTCGGACCAAATGGACAGTTGCTTCAAGTGGGGGACCTCGAATTGAGAGCCCTGGCGACATCTGGGAATTGGATTTTTCTGTCTAATGCTCGACCCCTCCGTGTCGAGAAAGCCCAAAGCCTAAGGGCTTCCAAGGTGTCGCCTTCCGAACGCCAAGCGATCGCCAGATCCAAGCTCTTCAAGGCTCCCTGCGCCATCCGCACTGATCTTCAGGCGTCTCAGCTCCGAGTCCAAGACCACCTCGGTGTCCAGCTTTCTTTCGCCTGAAGACTGAAAAATGAACTTTCATGGACCCTGCGGACACGTAAGAACTCCTCTCTTATTTGGGATGGTATTCCCTACATTCATAGGAAATCCTGCAGGCTGGTAACAGCTGATTGCGGGGAAGCCCTGGTGGAAAGAAAGCGACGACGGCAAAGAATCAAGGCCACGACCACACAAGACCCCAGCGCCGCTGCGATGAATACACCATACGTGTACACCTCACAAATGCGGGGAAGCAACCCTTTGATAGGCGTGTTGCCTTTTTTTCCAAGGCCTCTGGACCAGTGCAACGCAACTAACATAGCGTGACTTCGCACCTTGCCTCCGGCCCTGGTCGCCTTCGCCGTTTCGTAATACGCCGATGGGTGCCAATTGGTGGCAGCAAACCAAGAACGGGTCATGGCAGCACTACTTCCAGACAGGATTCCAGATTTGGTGAGTTGTCCACTTCACCCGTTCGCAGAATCCAGGTATTACCTTTACGAATCGCTCGTGTTCTCTCTAAAGCTGCATCGGCTGCTCCCTGTGATCAGCTTCCAGGATCCCAACGGTGTCAAAGTGGTGTGACCCTTTTGACCTGTTTGGCTCACTGATCTGAGGGTGGCAAGCAAAATGGACCCATGGTTGCACCCACCCATTTCGAGCCTTGAAACCCAAGGGCAGGGTGAACAGCACAGGCTGTGCAAAGGTGGCCACGATCATGACTGGCTCGCGGCTCGCATTGCGCTGATCTTTGCACGCCGTGTCAGAGAACGGTGATCCACTTCCTTGGATGCCTTTTCTTGTTGTGCAGCGCAAAGCAAGACCTTCAAGGCAGTTGTCAACTTGTGCGGGAGGGGGTCAAGGGTTACCGACTTCAAGGTTTGTCAGACTTAAGCTTTCAGGCCTAGCGCTTGAGCACGGCGGCGTGGTGTTTGTGGCAGCACCAAACATGTGGCACTGGCCAGCACCAAACATGTGGCGCGACAGTGATAGCCAAGCAAACCTGATGAGCCAAAACCAAGCGCCCTGCTCAATGCCCAATGAGACTCCAAGCATCACTTATTGGCCCACATATCGTTTCCATCAAGTGCAAATGAGTGCAATGACTACGTTCCCTAGAACCTGTCCTAGCAACCACACACTCTTATCCTGGGGCGCCAACCAGCTTTTTTGGGTGTAAGGGCATACAAGGCGTCAGGGGCACACCTGCCACAAAAAACGCGGCGAGTCCGCCCCTTAGAATCAGGAAGCCGCGTCGCGGCCTTTTCCACGCACGGCGTCGCCGTCCCTCGTCGGCTTTAGGGCCGCAACACCTGCGGTTGGCAGTTGGTCAACGGAAGGTGGGCCTTCTGGTTCCAACCTCCCCATCTATTCAGAGCCTTCAACAGTCAGACCCCGGTCAAGTGTAGCCCGGTAAGTTTTAGAGTACGCCATTCATCCGAGGCAAAACGTAGATACTAGATGCACCGGTACCATTGAAAGTGCACCCCATAACCTGAAGCCCCTCTGGTCAGTAGGTGAGAGAGTATCGGCCCCAAGCACGATATACCGTCAGGCCCCACCACTTAAACCTCCGTGACTTTACGAGGGACTTCTGAAGAGCAGGATATGTGGAATGGTAACCAACCCTGTATTTGTTCGATTATTGAGGGACCAGGACTCTTGGCATGCCTTTTTGAGCAACCCACGTTTCCGATGGCATTTGGTGTGAGTGTAGTTTCCCGTGTAGTTGCCCAAGGTCATTCCCTTGACTACAGTAGACGGCAGTTAATATTGATCTTTGCTCACGATCTGGTAGTCAACATCAGCTTGCTCATTCACTCTGTCCTGACTGGCAGGGGAACTACGACAGCTACAAAACATTTGGCGAGGATAGCCCGCGCAAGAATATCGAGCGTTGCTCATGCTGGATTTGGCTGCCTGATACGGAAGTGGAATTCAGGCTACTACACTTGAGCCATCCTCTCTGGGGCATACTGGCCTCTTGGGGCGAAGAGAACAAAGAAGGAGGTAGGCATGAAGGTGTGTAAGGCAAAGCCGCCAGCAGTACGAAAAGCCCAGCAAAGGGCATGGCGCTTGCGTCGGGTAACCCGAGCTCACTCAAGTTCCATTGCTCGAAAGAAAAGCAAACGCGAAGGCCGCTCCCCGGCTCCTGGCGGGAAGAACGCGGTTCACCGCGGCTGCGGTGGTCGCAGGCGCTGAAGGCAGTGTTCCACTCTTGGATTTCTGGATTTCTCCAGAGTGGACTTAAATCCAGGGGTGGTTGATTTCCGAAAAGCAGAACCCCTGGGTTTAAGTCTATCTTGGGGTAAAGCGGAATCCCGGCTGGAGTGGGCGACGCGGGCCGTTTGACAACGCTGCAATCGCAGCCGCGTGGATCGCGCCTGGTTGCTATGGCCCCTTGAGGGCACCGCTGAAAAGCACCTTACTTAGCGATCAGCAAAAGCTCTTGGGCGCAAGCCTCAACACAACTTTCAGCGACGGATATCCTGGCTCGGGCACCAATGAAGGGCGCACTTCAGCGATCAGGGGAGCTTTTGCTGCTGGCAAACAGCTTCAGTGTTCCGGAACCGCGGTCCTGTCCTCGCAACGACGGCCCGGCAATGGAACAAACAAACAAACAATCCCGGACAAATTCTTGTCCAAAACATCCCGAGCATGCCGACTGTGCCAACAGTGCCAGCCCCTCTCTGGACTGCCCCATTTTTCCCGCAGCGCGCTTTCTGAATCCGCGTTGCGGTTGTCGGTGCCTGAATCCGTTATGGCTCCTGATGGAGGAATGTTGGCAGAGAAACATCTTGATCATTCCTCGTGAGCTGCAGCCAGTTTTCCTTGTTGCCCCCAACACCCATCTCAAAACTGAGTCCACTTTCACATTGCACTCTGAATCGTGGTCTGAAGTAATTTGAAGGAACCCCTCGAATCTTCACTTTACTCCACCCAGACAATGGGGTCCTCCGCCTTCCCTCCATACTTCGTACACAAAAGAATTGCGCACCGAAAACGACTTCAGTCCCACAGGTCCCTTTTTCTTCGTGCACCGGACATTTCCCCGGGCCACGCACGCGGCCCGGCTCCCACGCCTCGCAGGCCACGGCCTCGCGGTCCTGCACCTCCCGGCCGTCCCGGAGCCGCCAGGACCCCGCGGCGCCCTCGCCCAGGAAGGCCACCTTCGTTGGACGCGCTGCGATCCGGCGCGCGAATTGTTTTTTTTTTGAGAGCAGCGAGGTGTCTCTGAAATGGAGCCGGTGGGTAGCCTCCAAGCAGTTGTCCATGGAAGTGAGATTCTCTGTGCGGTGTTGGGGCAAGTAGATGGTCCAAAACGAATTCAAGGGTGCGCGTTGTCCACGAAGAAGCAGAAAGAACCCGAGCAATTTAAGATGGAAGACCTGTTTTGGGCTCAGTGGCTTCATATTAGTGGGTTATTAGTCCGATTCGGGCATCTCATGCCGGGTTTGGGAGCCCTTGCCACTGACAGCGCGACCCGAGAGAAGCGGTCCCAGATGGGAACCAACGGCCACGCCGAGGAACTCGGAACCGCTCTGACTGCCCGTTTCGGCGGAGCCCCGCCGCTGGGCCCCCGCGCCGGCCGCAAACGCGCGGCGGACACGAAGCGCTGCACTGCCATGCGCACCTCCGCTGTGAGCTGACGGTAGGTCAACAGGTGGGGAACCGAACCAATCCCAAAAGCTCATGCCCAACATGCATGATGTTTTGTAAGGTGTCCTAGGTGAGAGCTGATTCTGAAAGCGCATTAGGCTTCATGATAAGGCTCCTTGAAATGCGAATTGAACTAATTCTTGAGACCCTTGAGGCCATCGACCCATGGCCACCAAACGAACACATTGCGCAGACACTATGCAGGCATCCCTGAAACTTTGCATGAGTTTACTGTAGGCAATGGCACAAACAAGGACGCATATCATTTGCAGGGCCTCCTGTGAGCAGTCACGATTCGGCTTGCAACAAGTCTACAAGCTGAGCTAGGGCCCGGACTCCTTCCTCAGCACCATAATCATCAAAAATGATGAGGCTCACCTTTGCGAAAGCAGCTTCGCAAGTCAAATGTTGACTCAGCCCTGTGTTTTTTTGAATTTCTCGAGACCGAACGATGCGGGCAGAGTATCCGGCGGTGGGTATGCGCAGGCAGTTGTCGATGTCTTGCATGACCTGAGCGCAGCAGCGCTTTGATTCATGCGGAATGAAATATGTTTCAACTTAAGGCCCAGGAAAGGACCTGCGTCATGGACAAGTCGACACGACCCCTTTTCAAAGGTTTTGCCCAAATGGTTTGGGCGCGGATGCCGGGAGCCGATCGACATTGGAGCAAGGCGACTGGCCTTTGCTTCCCTGGGCTTAGCGTGTCTCGGTCTCTGGCGCTCTCGAAGTCATGCGACGCGTCCAGGAACACAACCTTGGCCCATCCGTCAAGATGAAATTCCCCAAAAACGGTTGGGGCGGGGGGGGAGAATGGAGGGGTGGTTCCAAAGGAACTAAGAGGGAACCAAAGGCCAGGAGAACTGGCTCTTGACCGCTCGTCTTGGTAGCGGATGATTCATGTCTTCACAAACAAAACGGCCCTTGGCCCAGGTTGCTTGGGACAAAAGTCTGATCCCCAAGGTTCCTAGTAATTTGGTGAGTGTGGTCCAAGTCATCCTCTCAGCAATAGATCACATTTTGTTTGATCCCTGCTGTTGCCAGTGCGATATAGTGCGATTTCCGCAAAGGTTTCTATTGCTGGCGCCCTTTGAGAAAGGGATGATTTATTGCCATGTCCGGCGGGACGACCCCAAATCGGAAAGTCGCCTCTCAGGGGCCCCTGAACGCAGAGGCTCCAAGGCAACTCCGTAAGACCAACGCCAAATTAGTGGATTCTACCTCCAACTCCTCTGAACAAGGGAACAAGCAGAACATGCCCGTGCTTGTCATTTGATTTCATGCCTCCGCAGATTCTGTACAAACACAAAGCGAACAACTGGACGAAAACCGCGGTGAATCCCAAGAAAGTCTTATCTTGGATGCCACACAAGTTTCTGCTTTGCACTCTTCTCCGCCCAAAGACATACTGTGTACTTTCTGAACACCTGCTAGTGCACGGCACATGTTGGAAAGGTACCTGACGCCTACCAGAAATAGGTTTGGAATCGGATGGATCGCTAGTGAAATGTTAAATCACTAGACATTGGGATAGAGCTCAAGTACTCATGAGCCATTTGACAAATGGGCATCATATGTTGAATAACTGTCAGACAAGCATTTGATGTTGGGTTGCCAACAAATAGACGTTTTCTAGAAGCCTTAAAAGAGAAAGCTAGCAGCTAGCTCGAAACAGAAATGATATAGTGAAGCTCAATGTCCTGGATGTACACCCGGCGGTCCATTACGGAGCTTCCGCGGGGCTGTTTTCACAACATTCAATGCAAAAGCAGTACGCACGAAGTAACCTTCCCCAGCCCCAGCTTGAAAGCCATGCCGCAGCACAGCACAGGAAACAACCCGTTGGCCACCCATGTCCGAAAACTGGCGGCGAGGTCCACTGACTTTTGCGAAACTTTCGCGGATCTTGCGCCTAACATTACGCTGGGAAGTTGCGCTCAACTGAGCTCGAAAGCTTTACATCTTCAACAAGCTGCTTTCTGCTGGGGACTGCTTTTGCAGCGACATAGTCTACTGGCAATCCTCAGGCCGGGATTGCCACCGACAAACTTTGGTCTGTACACACAACTTGAGCCAAAAAAAACACAATTTCGTGACTTCCATTGCCAAGCTTTTGCGAAGGGCAACACTAAGGACCAAAAGGTATTTCCCTTCATGTCTGAGTACAGGCACCTTTCGGACGACTCTCATATGAATCGTGCTAGGGAATATGCCACGAGTATGCTCAGCATGGGACATAGTCAACATATGCCAGGTTCGAAAAATACTAAACATGTGCGACAAACTTGTTGAAAAACATCATGGTTAGGACATTTTTGGGGACCGTTCGGTGGACATCATTTGCACGGGGCTGAGCTGCTTAATAGTTCATCAAGAGTTCGTCATATTACAATATCATCAAAAGGGCGAAGTACAAACCACAGAGCAAAGCATCTAGAGTTATGCCGTACCAAAGCCAGCAAAATACACAACGAAAACAGTCCCTACAAGCACCACTCTCCCATTTGAGTCACCCTTGGCCCTTCGCGATATCCAAGCGGCATGGATGGCATTCATGGAGAAGATACTCCAATCCTTGGTATCAACACTCAAGCTCTGAGCCGTGTCCGTTGCTTGAGCCATCACCAATATTGATCGACTTGCTGATACTCGAATTGTGTAAGCAACCCACCCTTTCCCAGTATTAATGTGGCCAGTGTAACTCATGTCATCCTTTCCACTCCTGTAGATGGTGGTGGACGCGGGCGCTTGTTTATGTGAGCATTTGGCGATGCCACACATTGTGCATCCAGCCAGCTGGCATGTCAGCGGAATCCCTTAAGAGCACTGCGTGGTGTCCAGTGTGAAACCTGGCAGCTCAACCATATCATCAAGCAAACAGCAGGCTTTCACTACGAACCGCATCAGTGTGATGTGTTTCTTAGGCACTTGGCCATGGGTCAAAACCCTGTACCCCCAGTGAACATCCCAATCCCCACTAAAATAGACTAAAATGGTATCCCAAAATGGTATCATTGGTTTTGAACCATGGCCACTTGATTCACTTGACCCTTGGCTTGATTCCGGAGCCTTAAGTACAGGATGTTCTCTCTGTCCGAGTTATACTCCCGATTCGCCTGGGAGCCAAGACTGAGAAGCCGAGAAGCCGGGAGGGGCCCCGGCCTGTTCGACTTGGGAGTTGTTTGTTTTTGTGCACTTTTGATTGGCCCCAAAACGGCTCGAAGTACTGCAGACTCCACAGACCAGGCAATTCTGGGAAAGCGGGTTGAAGCACTTTAAATTTTGCTTAGGGCTCTAGAGTCTGGATTGATGATTGGAAAGCAAGGGTCCTGAGAGTCTTCATCAAATGGGCTTCGCTTTAAACAATTTGGTTTGTGCAAATGGACAGCAAGTTGAGCAAAGTTGGCAGGCGAGTCAGAGCTGACGCAAATACCCGCAATTTGCTTCTGACTGCGGACGTTTCCTTGCACGCCCCCCGCGGAGAGTTTCGGCCTGCAGCAGTTCAGGGACTGCGTCCAGGGCGATGACCTTAGACGGTTGGGAGACAAAAAAATCACAGACGTGGCTGACCTCTCCATGGCTTCGCGTTTTTTTTGGGTACGACCAACATAGAGCACCCAAGAAATCTGAGATCCATCTCAAGCAACTTGTTGGTCACCAGACTGGGATGCAGCTGAAACTTCAGGATAGAACAAAATCGATCTGAAAAAAGGGGGAGGCATCTTGAATTCAGTCGCTCAGTGCCCAACCCGCTTGAACAAATAGCTCAGCCAGCGGGTGGTGTAGCCAAAGTAAGACCCCACCTACCCGCACGGTCCCATCCCAGCAACGCACACGCTGGTGCCTTTGTTGCATGGCTGCTCTCCTGTCCATGAACAGCTTCGACTGGGAAACAAAGCAACTTGAAAGTGGGGCCCAAACTGGGCCAGTCACATTCTTTCATAGGGCCCCCCCTTTCAATGCGTTGTGACACCAACAGGACACCCGAAACCCTGAACCTTCGGACTGGTCCAAACTCAAAATCAGCATGGCGGTCTAGGTTCCATCCAATGCTTGTCAAACGGCATCCGTCTACGTCTTGGAAGGACCGGACAGTGGGGGTGATGAAACCTTCACTTGCAAGTGTCTCCAAGGGCTTCCCATTATCATGTCATCCACAGACATGCCTGCAGACAACCCGCCATGTGAACAACATGGCCTCGCAAAGACATGGCCTCGATCGGGAATTAGAGCTTGGGGACGGGCTTTCAAGGGCAGCACGCATGGGATTTGTTTCCTAATGTAGGAATCCTTACGGCGGTCTAACGCCCAACAAGCCCAATTGAAGAATCCATAGTCACGCATAGCCATACATACAAAGTCTCTTAAATGCCTGTCAGCTGGTTCCTAAAGGTAAACCAAAAAGCAACACCCACCACTTTGGGAATCAGCCAAACGTGCATGAGTTGCCTTTCCTCGTTTCAAAACCCACCGTTCATCACCGATCCTCCAGCACGGTGAAGTTCTCTGAGAAGCCTCCGAGCTGCTCCCGCAGGTCCTATCTGCTCGTTCATGGCAACAAGTTCAGACCGTGGATGGAGGAAATCCATGTCGCACCACGTGGAAACCATGGGGAAACCATGGTTCATTGGTGTTTACAGAAATAATCACCAATCCAGGGTTGTTCATATTTGGGCATAATGTGTTTTTTCTGTTTAAACCCGGGGACCCCAACTGTTGGACATCATGTAGGTGGGGTTTTATGTCCAGCAACGACTTTTTAGGGGGGTATTCATTCAAATTGGTGTGGCCATGTCAGGCATTGGCATGGCGACCCACCTCTTTGGATCGCACGGGACGTCCCAAACGAGGTCCCTTTGGACAAGCGCCGTGTCAGAGTCCTAATACATGCATTGCGTGCACCAGTAGCTCGTAAGAAGGGCACGATTCTTTGCACACCCTATCGGCAGGCAGCTATGCTGGTCTCTTTAAACACAAGCCGTTGCTATCGTGCTGTCGTGCCAAGAGTCTGAAGTGAAACGATTCGCAGCCTCAGAATCTTGAGGGACACACATGCTGCGCGGTGGTTGACCTGTAGGACAGTCATGCTCATCTTTGCTAAACCCAAAGCTGTTGATCGGCATTCCAAGTTGAGGTTGCTGCAATCTTTTGCATACTCTGCTCCCGACACAAACAGACTATTGACCATGCAAATAATTCTTGTATTATGGCACACAATGGCGGCGACCGCAAGTCACGTTCACGCCGAGCCCCAAGCCTGTCAACCGATGCAACTGTTCCCCCGAAGAGCCTGAGTTGTGTTGCAACAAATGCACCCTCTACAAAGGCGACGCAGGCACAGTGACACATGCCATGGGTCAAAATCCCGTACCCCCAGTGAACATCCCAATCCCCACTAAAATAGACTAAAATGGGAGGTGCGCCTACCCCAAAATGGTACCATTGCAACCTCGCCTCAAAGCCGAGGTCACCGCGCGCGTGCGCGCGAGCCCCACACCCTCTGAGTGGCCTGCAGAACGTGACAAGAATGTCAAGGGCGGTTGTAGCTGCCAATACGACTGCCTTCATTCTCCGTCATGCCTTCGAGCTTCTTAGGGCAGTGATCACTCTACGAGCCAGAATGCAAGCATCGTGTCACTCAACCAAGTAAGAGTGTGTCAAGCCTTGAAAAGGCCAGTGAGGGACGTTTCCCAACGTGTGTGCTCCATATTCTGCCACATCTATCTAATACTTCCTTTCCGTGCGACAGCTGCCGCATCTGTAGCAGAAAACCCTTGTGTTCCGGTCAACCGCAGCTGCCCTGCACTGAAGAAAAAATCTCCAAACGGACGACAGCAACAGCGCCTGGCAGTCATTCTCGTCGGCGGCAATCTGTTGTCGGCGAATCGCAGCCAATCCGTCTGGGACAAGCGGATGGCTTTTGCGCAGCCTGCACGGTTGCCGCAATCCGTTGCACACTCCTTCCCCTTCCCTGCAAATGCAAAGCAGTGTGCAAACGGATGGCAGCAAGCGCGCCTCGCATTCATTTCTTTTGACGCTCGTGGCCAATCCTTCTGGCACACGCCTCTGGCTCCTGCACAGCCTGCACGGTTGCCGCAATCTGTTGCACACTCCTTTTCCTCATCTGCAAATGCGAAGCAGTGTAGCAACGGATGGCGGCAACCGCGCCTCGCAGTCATTGCTCTTGACGGCCATCGTGGCCAATCCTTCTGGCACACGCCTCTGACTCCTGCGCAGCCTGCACGTTTGCCGCAATCCGTTGCACACTCCTTCCCCGTCTCTGCAAATGCAAGGCAGTGTGCAAACGAATGGCAGCAAGCGCGCCTCGCATTCATTTCTTTCGACGGTCATCGTGGCCAAACTGTCTGGCACACGCCGCTGCCTCCTGCGCAGCCTGCATGGTTGCCGCAATCTGTTGCACACTCCTTCCCCTTCTCTGCAAATGCAAAGCAGTGTGCAAACGGATGGCAGCATCCGCGCCTCACAGCCTTTCTTGTTCGCTGGCACGGCGGCCAATCCTTCTGGCACAAGCTGCTGGCTCCTGCGCCTGCACGGTTGCTGCAATCCGTTGCACACTTCTTCCCCTTCCCTGCAAATGCAAAGCAGTGTGCAAACGGATGGAAGCGAGCGCGCCTCGCAATCAGGTAAGCGCGCCTCGCATTCATTTCTTTTGACGCTCGTGGCCAATCCTTCTGGCACAAGCTGCTGGCTCCTGTGCAGCCTGCACGGTTTCCACAATCTGTTGCACTCTCCTTTTCCTCATCTGCAAATGCGAAGCAGTGTAGCAAAGGATGGCGGCGCCCGCGCCTCGCAGTCAATGCTCTTGACAGCCATCGTGGCCAGAGTGTCTGGCACAAGCTGCTGGCTTTTGCTCAGCCTGCACAGTTGCCGCAATCTGTTGCGCACTCTTTTCCCGCAAAGCAGTGTAGCAACGGACGGCAGCAACCGCACCTCGAAGTAATTTCTCTGGTTATCGTGACCAGACTCTCTGGCACAAGCTGCTGGCTCCTGCGCGGCCTGCACGGTTGCCGCAATCCGTTGCACACTCCTTTCCCTTCACTGCAAATGCAAATGAAAGTGAAACCCGGAAGGCAGAAAGCGCGCCTCGCAGTCACTGCTCTTGACGGTCATCGTGGCCAGGCTGTGTGGCACAAGCTGCTGGCTCCTGCGCGGCCTGCACGGTTGCCGCAATCTGTTGCACACTCCTTTCCCTCCACTGCAAATGCAAGCAGTGTAGCAACGGATGGCAGCAACCGCGCCTCACAGCCTTTCTTGTTCGCTGGCACGGCGGCCAAACGGTATGGCAAAAGCTGCTGGCTCCGGCGCGGCCTGCACGGTTGCCGCAATCCGTTGCACACTTCTTTCACTCCACTGCAAATGCAAAGCGTTGTGCAAATGGACGGCAGCAACCGCGCCTCGCAGTTTTTTCTTCTGAACAATTCGTCTGGCACAAGCTGCTGGCTTTTGTTCAGCCTGCACGGTTGCCACAATCTGTTGCGCACTCTTTTCCCGCATCTGCAAATGCAAAGCAGTGTAGCAACGAACGGCAGCAACCGCGCCTCGCAGTCATTTCTCTTGACGATTTTCGTGGCCAGACTGTCTGGTACAAGCTGCTGGCTCCTGCGCGGCCTGCACGGTTGCCGCAATCCGTTGCACACTCCTTTCCGTTCCCTGCAATTAAAAAACAGTGTGCAAACGGATGGCAGCAACCGCGCCTCAAACTCATTTCTTTGGACGCTCCTGGCCAATCCGTCTGGCACACTCCTTTTCCTCATCTGCAAATGCGAAGCAGTGTAGCAACGGATGGCGGCAACCGCGCCTCGCAGTCATTGCTCTTGACGGCCATCGTGGCCAATCCTTCTGGCACACGCCTCTGACTCCTGCGCAGCCTGCACGGTTGCCGCAATCCGTTCCACACTCCTTTCCCTCCACTGCAAATGCAAAGCAGTGTAGCAACGGATGGCAGCAACCGCGCCTCACAGCCTTTCTTTTTCGCTGGCACGGCGGCCAAACGGTCTGGCACAAGCTGCTGGCTCCTGCGCGGTCTGCACGGTTGCCGCAATCCGTTGCACACTCCTGTCCCGTCTCTGCAAATGCAAGGCAGTGTGCAAACGAATGGCAGCAACCGCGCCTCGCATTCATTTGTAAAGACGCTCGCGGCCAAACTGTCTGGCACACGCCGCTGCCTCCTGCGCAGCCTGCATGGTTGCCGCAATCTGTTGCACACTCCTTCCCCTTCTCTGCAAATGCAAAGCAGTCTTCAAACGGGTGGCAGCAACCGCGCCTCGCATTGATTTCTTTTGACGCTCGTGGCCAAGTCGTCTGGCACAAGCCGCTGGCTCCTGGAGAGCCTGAACGGTTGCTGCAATCCGTTACACACTCCTTCCCCTTCTCTGCAAATGCAAGGCAGTGTGCAAACGGGTGGCAGCAACCGCGCCTCGCGTTCATCTCTTTTGACGGTCATCGTGGCCTAACTGTCTGGCACACGCCGCTGGCTCCTGCACCTGCACGGTTGCCGCAATCCGTTGCACACACCTTTGCCTTCCCTGCAAATGCAAAGCAGTGTGCAAGCGAATGGCAGCAAACGCGCCTTGCATTCACTTCTTTGACGGTCATCGTGGCCAAACTGTCTGGCACAAGCCGCTGGCTCCTGCGCCTGCACGGTTGCTGCAATCCGTTGCACACTCCTTCCCCTTCTCCGCAAATGCAAGGCAGTGTGCAAACGGGTGGCAGCAACCGCGCCTCGCGTTCATCTCTTTTGACGGTCATCGTGACCTAACTGTCTGGCACACGCCGCTGGCTCCTGCGCCTGCACGGTTGCCGCAATCCGTTGCACACACCTTTGCCTTCCCTGACAATGCAAAGCAGTGTGCAAGCGAATGGCAGCAAACGCGCCTTGCATTCACTTCTTTGACGGTCATCATGGCCAAACTGTCTGGCACAAGCCGCTGGCTCCTGCGCCTGCACGGTTGCCGCAATCCGTTGCACACACCTTCCCCTTCCCTGCAAATGTAAAGCGGTGTGCAACCGGATGGCAACAACTGCGCCTCGCATTCAATTCTTTTGCCGCTCCTGGCCAATTCGTCTGGCACAAGCCGCTGGCTCCTGCGCAGCCTGCACGGTTGCCGCAATCCGTTGCACACTCCTTCCCCTTCCCTGCAAATGCAAAGCAGTGTGCAAACGGATGGCAGCAAGCGCGCCTCGCATTCGTTTCCTTTGACGCTCAAGGCCAATCCTTCTGGCACAAGCCGCTGGCTCCTGCGCCTGCACGGTTGCCGTTGCACACTCCTTCACCTTCCCTGCAAATGCAAAGCAGTGTGCAACCGAATGGCAGCAACCGCGCCTCGCATTCAATTCTTTTGCCGCTCCTGGCCAATCCGTCTGGCACAAGCCGCTGGCTCCTCCGCTGCCTGCACGGTTGCCGCAATCTGTTGCACACTCCTTCCCCTTCCCTGCAAATGCAAAGCAGTGTGCAAACGGATGGCAGCAACCGCGCCTCACAGCCTTTCTTGTTCGCTGGCACGGCGGCCAATCCTTCTGGCACAAGCTGCTGGCTCCTGCGCCTGCACGGTTGCTGCAATCCGTTGCACACTCCTTCCCCTTCCCTGCAAATGCAAAGCAGTGTGCAAACGGATGGCAGCGAGCGCGCCTCGCAATCAGGTAAGCGTGCTCGCATTCATTTCTTTTGACGTTCATCGTGGCCAATCCGTCTAGCACAAGCCGCTGGCTCCTGCGCAGCCTGCACGGTTGCCGCAATCCGTTGCACACTCCTTCACTTTCCCTGCAAATGCAAGGCGAACGGATGGCAGCAAGCGCGCCTCGCATTCATTTCTTTTGACACTCGTGCCAATCCGTCCGGCACAAGCCGCTGGCTCCTGCGCAGCCTGCACGGTTGCCGCAATCCGTTGCACTCTCCTTCTCCTTCTCTGCAGATGCAAAGCAGTGTGCAAACGGATGGCAGCAACCGCGCCTCACAGCCTTTCTTGTTCGCTGGCACGGCGGCCAATCCTTCTGGCACAAGCTGCTGGCTCCTGCGCCTGCACGGTTGCTGCAAACCGTTGCACACTCCTTCCCCTTCCCTGCAAATGCAAAGCAGTGTACAAACGGATGGCAGCGAGCGCGCCTCGCAATCAGGTAAGCGCGCCTCGCATTCATTTCTTTTGACGTTCATCGTGGCCAATCCGTCCGGCACAAGTCGCTGGCTCCTGCACAGCCTGCACGGTTGCCGCAATCCGTTGCACTCTCCTTCTCCTTCTCTGCAGATGCAAAGCAGTGTGCAAACGGATGGCAGCAAGCGCGCCTCGCTTCATTTCTTTTGACGCTCGTGGCCAATCCGTCTGGCACAAGCCGCAGGCTCCTGCGCAGCCTGCACGTTTGCCGCAATCCGTTGCACACTCCTTCCCCTTCTCTGCAAATGCAAGGCAGTGTGCAAACGAATGGCAGCAAGCGCGCCTCGCATTCATTTCTTTCGACGGTCATCGTGGCCAAACTTTCTGGCACACGCCGCTGCCTCCTGCGCAGCCTGCACGGTTGCCGCAATCGGTTGCACACTCCTTCCCCTTCCCTGCAAATGCAAAGCAGTGTGCAAACGGATGGCAGCAACCGCGCCTCACAGCCTTTCTTGTTCGCTGGCACGGCGGCCAATCCTTCTGGCACAAGCTGCTGGCTCCTGCGCCTGCACGGTTGCTGCAATCCGTTGCACACTCCTTCCCCTTCCCTGCAAATGCAAAGCAGTGTGCAAACGGATGGCAGCAACCGCGCCTCACAGCCTTTCTTGTTCGCTGGCACGGCGGCCAATCCTTCTGGCACAAGCTGCTGGCTCCTGCGCCTGCACGGTTGCTGCAATCCGTTGCACACTCCTTCCCCTTCCCTGCAAATGCAAAGCAGTGTGCAAACGGATGGCAGCAACCGCGCCTCACAGCCTTTCTTGTTCGCTGGCACGGCGGCCAATCCTTCTGGCACAAGCTGCTGGCTCCTGCGCCTGCACGGTTGCTGCAATCCGTTGCACACTCCTTCCCCTTTCCTGCAAATGCAAAGCAGTGTGCAAACGGATGGCAGCGAGCGCGCCTCGCAATCAGGTAAGCGCGCCTCGCATTCATTTCTTTTGACGTTCATCGCGGCCAATCCGTCCGGCACAAGTTGCTGGCTCCTGCACAGCCTGCACGGTTGCCGCAATCCGTTGCACTCTCCTGCTCCTTCTCTGCAGATGCAAAGCAGTGTGCAAACGGATGGCAGCAAGCGCGCCTCGCTTCATTTCTTTTGACGCTCGGGGCCAATCCGTCTGGCACAAGCCGCAGGCTCCTGCGCAGCCTGCACGTTTGCCGCAATCCGTTGCACACTCCTTCCCCTTCTCTGCAAATGCAAGGCAGTGTGCAAACGAATGGCAGCAAGCGCGCCTCGCATTCATTTCTTTTGACGGTCATCGTGGCCAAACTTTCTGGCACACGCCGCTGGCTCCCGCGCAGCCTGCACGGTTGCCGCAATCCGTTTCACACTCCTTCCCCTTCCCTGCAAATGCAAAGCAGTGTGCAAACGGATGGCAGCAAACGAGCCTTGCATTCATTTCTTTCGACGGTCATCGTGACCAATCCATCTGGCACAAGCCGCTGGCTCCTGCGCAGCCTGCACGGTCGCAGCGGCTTTTGCGAAACCGGATAGGAACCTGCGATCCGGTCCTGGTCACTGCCCGCACCACGTCAACCCAGACCTGTCCACCAGGATGCCACGCCCATGCCTTCCCATCAACTCTGAACCGGCTTTGGGAGTGGAAGAGAAAGGGGAAGAAGCCAAGAAATCAAAGGCCTTCCAGCATCTGTGAATTGAAGGCATCGATTGGCACTGGGGTGAATAAAACGCTACCGACCTCCACTTACCTGACCTGTGCCTAGGCGGTACTGAACCCTGGCTTTAAGGTTGGCTCACCCCGACCTTCAGGGAGTGCAAAGCGCATGGCAGGCGCGATTTCTCCAAGCGATCACTGGTGACTGGAAACGGATGTCCTGACAGCACGAAATGGGCTAATTTGGCAGGTCACTCAGTTAATGTACAGGACTGGCACTTCCACCGCGTTGTTGAGCAAGTGCGTTGTGAGTGAAGACTTCCTTGGTCAATGGCCAACCCGGCTTCAATTCACAAACAACTATACGAATTTCACCTCAATAGAAAAAGGCCAGCCCGATCTACTCCGTCCTAACGAAGTGCCCAATGAAGTCTGGGTCACATGAGACAGGCCATAGCAACTATCCCTCTCTGGAAGCTCGGATGGACTGCAGAACAGGTTCCTATGTTTGTTGTGTCTGAATGTTGCAACGTGGGAAAAGCACCCCTTTGTTCGCTGTTTAGCATTCGCGTGCAGCTTCCGATTGCCCAATTGGTCTCGCGAGAAAGCACTTGCGATGATAGAGCTGCTCTCTACACATGTCAACCACTATCCGAGGCGTGATCTTGTGTTTTCTGGATTGGTTCGAAATTATATCAACCGTTTTGGTGCTTAGTAGTGCATGTCTTGTTGCACGGCCTGCTACGTGAAACACGGCAGGGTGTGGTAGAGTGCGCTATGGAAATGGAATGTCAGTACACCAGTGTGTGTGTGTGTGTACAGCACTATCGCATTCCCAATAGTAAGTTGTAGTATTGCAAGTGGCATTGCACAACGGAAAGCATCCGGTGACCAGGCTACAAGAACTGTCAAAACATCCAGAGGAAAAGGTGAGGATGCCGTGCGTCTTGCTAGTTGCACCGCATCTACCACGATCAGCTCCACGTTTTGTTTGCCTTGCTCATGTATCTCTTCTCAAGTGCGGATACAGAAGACCAACTTTGAACTTACACGAAAGATAATTTGATTTTCATTTTTTTTAGCCTCCAGGCATCCTCACTGAGAAGCTTCTTACACAGCAAAATGCGCAATTTCAGTCAGGCAGCAGCACGCCCACCACGGTCCTCCCCTTCAATAAGCTGTCGAAGTAGGTGCCGATGCCAGGCATGCACTTAGTTCCAGCAACCAGCACCTCAGAGACAGGAAGGCCGGCATCTTAACAGCCACTTTGTTGTTGTTTGCTTGTTTGCTTGTTTGCTTGTTTGCTTGTTTGTTTCTTTCTTTCTTTCTTTCTTTCTTTCTTTCTTTCTTTGTTTCTTTGTTTCTTTGTTTCTTTGTTTCTTTGTTTCTTTGATTCTTGTTTCTTTGTTTCTTTGTTTCTTTGTTTCTTTGTTTCTTTGTTTCTTTGTTTCTTTGTTTCTTTGTTTGTTTGGTTGGATGGTTGGTTGGTTGGTTGGATGGTTGGTTGGTTGGTTGATTGCTTGGTTGTTTGGTTGCTTCGTTGTTATTGCTGTAATTGCTGTGATTGCTGTGGTTGTTGTCGTCGTCGTCGGTCGTGGTTGTTGCTGGTTGTTGTTTGTTGTTGCTTGTTGTTGTTTGCTGTTGTGGTTGCTGCTGTCGTTGTCTCGTTGTCGTTGTCGTTGTCGTTGTCGTTGTCCTTGTCCTTGTCCTTGTTCTTGTTCCTCTTGTTGTTGCTGGTGGTGGTGGTGGTGGTTGGTGGTTGGTGGTTGGTGGTTGGTGGTTGGTTGTTGGTTGTTGGTTGTTGCTTGTTGGTTGGTTTTTGGTGGTTTGTTGTTGGTTTTCAGTTACGATGGGTCGTACACGAAATGCAGTGCGGATGGCTCTACAGCAAACAGACGCTGCTTTCACATGTCACTGGCTTGGAAGGTAGCAGGTTTCTGCAGCTACCAAATTGTCCGCGGGGGAAAATACAAACACGTCACTTTCACGACCTAATGGCAGATCTTTGGCGCAGGTGCTCCAATCAACACCAATGGTCACCGAATGCTAAACTCCTTACTTGATCGGCACCCATATGTCTATGCGCGCCACGGTCAAAACGTGCGGTTACCGTAAAGGACATGAGAAGATTAGTGAGGCCCCCGATGTTTGGGGGAACTCAGTGAGTGCGCCCATGTCCCTCTCAAATTAACCATAGACTACACGTTGACCCACCCTCATGCGCCGAAATAGAGGGACCCTATAATTGTGGCTTTGTTTTTGATGTCCCTGCAAAAGAAGGTGACTTTAGGGTACCCTCAAAAAAACCCGACCATATTGACCTAGGCACGTCGCAGCTGTTCCGGATGGCTGTGTCTAGCAACATCTCACCCAGCTGTTGCCCTGGAAGCACCTCGATGTGCGTTCCCTTCACCTCCTTTACTCCTGGAAGCTAGACGAATTTGGTAGGCGAAATGGGGAGGTTTGGGTTTGTGGTGTTGTCTTGGTTTTGCACAGAGTCAAACCCTCACCTCAAAGCATCAAGTTTGAGGGGTTACCAGGTTTACCTGATGTGCACTAGACATCGAAGCCAGTGCAACACACATTGCCAAAACCAAACTAGGTGGACCAAGATCCTGCTGCTTGTCCTGATCTCCTTTCTGCCCAAGCACAACCCCGCCCAACCCAAGAAGCCCCTTGGCGGTCAAGAAGGCAAATCGAATGCGAACAGAACCATGTCCAACTTGACGTCTGCACGACATGGTTGGCAATGCTGAGTTCTTCAAGAAGCCCCACTGCGGCAACAAGACGTGTCGGAACCACACTCCTTGCCTGCTTGCTGCTCATGTGCTCAGAATCTAGACTCCCCACCAGCAAACCAGGGGAAGCAAGGAATGGTTCTAAGCTCCCGTGCGTGTTGCCCAGCCCTCCCCAACCCGCGCAGCCATCCGTACCGATGCTGAGGCTTAGCCATGTTGCAGCGCCAAATATTTGAAACGCCAATGCCAAGGTAGCCACGCAACATGTCCACAACACCCCCCATCCTTTCAGGATCTCTTTCGCCTCATTGAAGAGTCGCATTGAGTCTTGCGCGGCCTTTTGCACCTCCTCCGTGACTCGCGGACCGGGCGGGCCCCGAACAGGCCCAGGGGTTGGTCACTTTTTGTCAACGGCCGTTTCTGGGTTGCTTTGAAACTCGGCGTGACACTTATCAGGTGAAAGGTGCACTGGCTTTCGTGAGCTGCAAAAAAAACATCTTCTCGGGCTAGTTGGAATTCGCAACGTGTCAAATTATGTTATATTCTGAACAAATGAGAAAGTGCGTCTTTTGCTGAACTGCGCCATGTGTCCGATGTTCACATAAAATGGCTGTGCTTCAAAGGGGGGGTGATGCAATTGTGTTGCTCACATGCTTCTTGCAAGTCTCGGCGTGTTTGGGACAATCCTAAGGCGGTGCCCCGTGTGAAGGAAATACCTTGGATGGTGGAAATCGCATATGATCTGTGTTCTTCATTCAATGGCCATCATGGTCAAGAATGGAGTAGCCCCGCACCACTCTGTGTTTCGCCTCCGTCTCTCTGCAAAGAGCTTCTACCCCTGCACTCCAGCAAGGCACATAAACCCACCGCCAATTTCGCTGCTTCGAGGAAGGGATTGAATGCCGAATTGCCAAGCAAAAAGCAACAGGTCAAAGTCCGACAAACCAACACTGGGCGAGAAATGAGGCCATCCCCGAAAGACTGTCTGAGGGATTCCAGGGGACACAGGCTCTATTGAACCTTACATCAATCTTGATGGCTTCTCGGAACACACGCATAAAAACAAACTCAAGCAAACTTCTACTGAAGGCTCTTATTGGCTGCTCCCAGTTTGAAGCAGGCTGCCGCTTGCTCAAGGATCCTTTCTTCTTTAAAGCGTGCGTCCCTGGAGGCTTCTGAATGTAGCAATTGATATAGCTGCAGTATGCCTACTATGCCTACTCTGCCTACTCTGCCTACTCTGCCTACTCTGCCTACTATGCCTACTTGCCTACTATGCCTACTATGCCTATTTTGCCTACTTTGCCTACTATGCCTACTATGCCTACTATGCCTACTATGCCTACTATGCCTACTATGCCTACTATGCCTACTATGCCTACTATGCCTACTATGCCTACTATGCCTACTCATACTACCACTGCTACTGCTACTGCTACTGCTACGACCGCTACTGATACCGCTACTGATACTGCTACTGCTACTACTACTGCTGCTACTACTGCTACTACTACTGCTACTACTACTGCCACTACTGCCACTACTGTCACTACTGCCACTTCTGTTACTACTTCTACTACTGCTACTACTAGTGCTACTTCTGCTACTACCGCTACTACTGTTGCTACTGCTGCTACTGCTGCTACTACTCTTGCTACTGCCACTACTATTGCTACTACTTCTACTACTTCTACTACTGCTGCTGCTAGTGCTACTAGTGCTACCAATGCTACCAGTGTACTAGAGCTACTAGTGCTGCTGGTCCTGGTAGTGCTACTAGTGTGCTAGGGCTACTGGTGATTCCATAGCACTAGTGCTAGCCTAGTCGTGCTACTGGTGCTACTGCTGCTACTATCTCTACTAGTGCTACTCGGGCTACGCGTGCTACGCGTGCTACGCGTCCTAACCGTGTACCAGTTGCACTACAATCACGACTTCCACTACCACCACTGCTAACACTACAGCCACAACTACCACTACTACCACTTCTACAAGTACACTACCAAACCTGCCACTTCTACCACTACTACCACAACTGTCACCACCACCGCCACCACCACCACCACCACTACAAGCGCTACAATGCAGTTTGCCCATACTGCGAGTCGTACAAGCAGTACTACCATGCTGAACTACAGGTACTGCTGACCAGTACCACACGCACCAGCTACAAGTAGCACAAGCACCCATTCAAAAGGAACCTGGATTGTGTGAGGTAACCATTTAACATTCAACACTCATGTCATCTTTCAACTTGTGCCCACAAGCTGTCCATAAGAACTGCAAACCAACCAACCAAGCATTGCCTGGATTGTGTGAGGTAACCGTTTGACACTAAACTAAATGTCATCTTTCACTTCTTCCCATTGCCGGGCTTTCCAAAATCCTTCCGAGCCGTTCTCCGCGTTTTCCGCTGGTTCCGCTCGGGCCTCTTCGGAGGGCTTGGGCGTGGAGCTCCGGAACTTGCCGCGGGAGGCGGGCTGCGGCGCCACGTGCGCGTGGAGGATCTCCACGGTGTCCTCGAGGCTTTAAAAAAACGCGCGCGCGAGAGATTTCGGCGCTGGGCCATGGGGTGCCTAGAATTCTGGCGCAAACAGAAGGCAGCCTTGCCTTTGTCAAACGAGGGCAGTTCTTTGGACCATCTGGCCATTGCATGGCGATCCCATTCTGGGAAGGATGGCTACATCCATTTGCTACCTATTTTGATGTTCACCAGGGGTACCTTTGGTTTTGACCCACAAAAGAGCAAAAAGAACCGACGAAAAGACTGATGATTCGCCTAGCTCCCACTAACATGGCACCTGACAGGGGGTCCCTACAAGAGGAAAATGATCTTCCAGGTACTCCCACAGGTGCCTTCTGTTAGTGGAAGGGAGGGTAGCCACCGTGAATCTTTCTGAAACGGGCTCCTCGCTGGTGGTGTAACTGGCTAGGACCTCCAAGGCGTGCTGGCTGGTGGTGCAACCGTCGTAGACCACGGTGTACTTGAGGCCCTTCTCCTGTGAGGGCCGCCACTCCTGCAGGGGGCAAACCAGCAGCCGGATGTCCCCGTAGCCTGGGCACGGAGTCAGGACTCGGCTGCAGTCGCAGTAAACCAAACACACCTTCCCCCCATCCCCCCCCCAAAAAAGAAAGAAGAAGAAGATAAAAGTTGTGCAGCCCCACCCCACCCCCCCACCCGTTATCAAAGGAGTATGGGACAACAATGAAACGCGCAAGACTTTCACAAGATGTCCTGCCACTAACCGTTCAAGACAAAGACTGATTCCAAGGGGCTCTGCATCAAATAGCTGGCCAGCGACCTGTGCAGAACGCGGCCCGGCCCATGGCAGCCCATGGCCACCATGTCCGCCCCTTTCCGGCCCACGAAGGAAATCACCGCCGCCCCCGGGGACATCACCGTGTGCACGTGGGTCCGGATGGCCTCTCCCAGGCCCGTAGCCTCTCGCAGCGCCTCGGGAAGCCAAAAGCCGAGAGAAAATGTCAGCGCGTCTCCAGTAGCTGTGGCTCAAAAACATGCACCAAAAAAAACACCCTGGCAAATGGAACCAACGGCTCAAACCTGCGTAACCTACTGTAAGTTTGAGCCACACAAGTGTCAAGGGGCACGTTGACCTCTTTTTCCTCGCTTCTCCCTCGTGGCTGCCACCCTTTCTGGCCTTCGCGACTGTCTCGGCCTCGCTCTGCGCCGCATTCTCGCTGCTGCTGTGCTTCTCCGCTTCCTCCGGCGAAGCCTAGCAGGAAGCAGAATACATGCGCCACCACCGCGAAATGGGAGCCAATGTGTGTGTGTGTGTGTGTTGCTATTATGCCTTTGAACCCTACAATGGGATTGCTGCGACAAGTCGGCTTGCGTTGCCCTGACTGTCTGAATCATTGGCAAATGACAAGTAGTCACGCTATGTTACATCACGGTCGTACCACATGCCATGACATTAAACTCCATGTTTCTTTACATGCACATTGTATACGCCATGAAATGCATGACACCATCAACACGCGCCCTGCTTCGGGACTGCCCGCCTGCTGTGTGGACTTGACTGCACGGTAGACCTCCGCACTTGCCATGAATTTGGCACTCGCTTTGCATAGACCCCAAACGACGCACGATGGACTACACACACACACACATTTGCACACGCAAAATGCCAGGAAATGAAAGACTATGCTCTGAATTGCGATCAAGGCCTTGGGAATGTGGAAAACCCGCTGCCTGAAAGCCAGGCCACAGCAACGTGATGTTTCTCCAAACCTTGCCAACAGCGCCCCAGGTTTCCTCGGACGCCTTTCTGAATTCCATGCCCGGTCTTGCAAATTCAAATATTTGTTTTCAAAGCAACAATCGCAGCTTGCATGCCTTTCTCGGACTGTGCAAATGGCAATCACTCTTCGGCAAGTCCAGGAGATCATACACCCTCTCCCCTTTTTGGGCCTTGTGTGGCACAAGGCTATCGCCTGGGCCACGTGTTGCCCTTTCGTCTCCCCACCCGACAGCGAGCAGCCCAAGCAGAGTCCCCGTTCTGGAGCATGCGCGACAAGAGCCGCGCTGCTGCCACCGATTGCGGCTGCCCATCCACACAGCTCACTGCCTGGCCCAACGAAGCCCCATTCTGCGTCTGTGACCAGTTCTGCCATGATAAAGTGACCCGCCGGTAAACCACACCATGAGCCACAGTGGATGTTTTGCGCACCTGGGCGATGACAAGGCCTGAAACGAACTAAGCCAGGCGGCACAGCCTGAATTTTCACTGACCTATCACCTGCGCCAAGGGGACACACCTCTGAAGTCTCCGTATGACTTCCCAAAGGAGCCTCTTCCCTTCTGGGGCACAATTATGTTCGGTCACTCAGATGAAAAGCTGCTCTTGCGTGTGGGCTATGTCACACGTTGTCCAAAGATAAAAGGCAAGCATCAACAAGCGCAAGTTCGATAGTCTCTAGACGTGCGGAACGAAACCAAGGCCAAGGACGCAGGCTCAAGCGTCATGCGAGGTGAAGTAGATCAGGTCTGACAAGCGCAAAGAGAAAATGGCCAAAGTGAATACCGGCGAGCGTTGCGGCACGAGTCGCAGAGAGCATGTATGCGAAGGAATGCAGGATCATCCTGGCAGGGTCCCATATCTTTGCAGGAATCACCTCGACCTCTTGTGAGCCAGTGCGCACCCTCCATGGCTTTGCAGCCGCTCTGGGCTTCCCGAGAATCTCAACCAGAAAGTAATACATCGGTGGGATTTGGGGGGAGCTCCGCCAAAAGTGAAAATGGGACACCCTTTGAATCAACCATGGCTTTGTTAAATTTGAGTTTGGGTGCAAAACAAAGGTCCATTAACCGCCTCCCCACCCTCCCTTCCCGATCCACGCCGTCACTGGCTTTCGCGCAACGGCAGTGAAGTGTCGGCAAAGAGGCCGAAGACGCTGCATCACCGTGAGGCGGGTGGATGTCATGACACCACCTGAGCCACAGTGAGTCACGGAAAATGTAAAACTCAAACTTTGCAAACTTTGCACTCAGAACAACTCGCTGACATGTATTTTTCTGACATTCGGATCAAGCAGGAATGTGTTTACCTGGAACGATACAAGGATGCCACCATATCCCTCTTGGCGTGGTCATGCAGGGCACTTCAGCACTTTGACGTCAATTCTTCTTGGGAACCATCATTTGATCCATTCCAAGCATCCCCTCGGCTGTGGTTTACTCTGCGGTGTACTAGACGCGGCCGAGCACGCCGGCCTTGTCGCACTGGAAGAGCGCACCGGCCAGTGACGGCGAAGAAAACTAAAACAAGTGTTGGGCTGAGATGTGTGAGCAAAGGACGAGCAAATGTTTGAAGCATGCCAATGCTTCCTACTGATGGCATCCCATCTGTGGGAACCAGCCTCCAGCTCCAAACCTGATCCCGAAAAAAGTTGCATGTGCACCCACGGATAGCGTGCTTTCCTCCAGAGCCAAGGCTAAGACGCGAAGCAGAAGCGGCCCAAAAATAACGTGCTGGCATCTCTCACAGCATACCCAACAGGCCAGCGAACATGCAAGCCCCGCATATCATGGAACCCCATGGAACAAATCGCATGGTACATGTGTGCATGTGTGTGTGTGTGTGTGTGTTTGTCTGTGTGTGTGTGTGGGTGTGGGTGTGGGCGTGGGCGTGGGTGCGGGCGTGGGCGTGTGCGTGGGCGTGGGCGTGCGCGTGCGCGTGCGCGTGCGCGTGGGCGTGCGCGTGGGTGTGCGCTTGGGCGTGGGCGTGGCGTGGGCGTGGGCGTGGGCGTGGGCGGGTGGGTGGGTGGATGGGCGGGCAGGTGGGTGGGTGGGCGGGTGGGTACGTGTGAGCGTGTGAGCGTGTGAGCGTGTGTACGTGTGTACGTGTGTACGTGTGTGCGTGCGCGTTCGCGTGCGTGCGGCGCGTGCGCGCGGCGCGTGCGCGTGCCCGTGCCCGTGCGCGTGGGCGTGCGCGTGCGCGTGCGCGTGCGCGTGCGCATGCGCGTGCGAGTGCGCGTGCGCGTGCGCGTGCGCGTGTGCGTGGGCGTGCGTGTGCGTGCCGGTGCGCGTGCGCGTGTGCGTGTGCGTGCGCGTGAGCATGAGCGTGCGCGTGTGCGTGCGCATGTGCGTGCGCGTGCGCGTGTGCGTGTGCGTGTGCATGACGTTTCCGTGCGCGCGCGTGCGCGTGCGCGCGCGCGTGCGCATGTGCGTGCGCGTGCGCGTGTGCGTGTGCGTGTGCATGACGTTTCCGTGCGCGCGTGCGCGTGCGCGTGCGCGTGCGCGTGCGCGTGCGCGTGCGCGTGCGCGTGCGCGTGCGCGTCGCGTGCGCG